ACTGGTCGCAAGCACTGGGCGACCGGTCGCTTTTACACAGAGTCTTCAGCATTTCAGATTTTCTTCCTGCGACCGGTCGCCAGCTCCTTGCGACCGGTCGCTCGTCGATTTTTCTAAAGGCTTCGAATCTGCTTCTAAACGACCGGTCGCTATTCCCTTGCGACCGGTCGCTTCCTGCGACACTTGCATTGTAAATGTGAGCCATTTTACAACAGTTTCTTCACAGAGTCGATGTCTGGAGCTAAGACGACTCGCGACCAGTCGCCAGCTATTTGCGACCGGTCGTTTTCAGGCAGAGTCGAGGCCTGGAGCGAAACCTTCTTGCGACCGGTCGCCCAGCACGTGCTGTTTCTGATTCCTCGAGTTTTGGACTCCATTTTCAAGGGCTATCGCCTCCTACCTACTTGCAAGGACTCTAGGGGTCACTTCTAAGTCAGAAGAACGTTGGCAATCAGTTGGGAGGTTGGAGGTAGCATTGAAGGACATTGGATGACTTGTTTTCAAGGCGTAGCCACCCTATGGTTCTATATAGGGTGGCTACACAAGTAACCATCAATACATAGCTTGTGGCTGGCCTAACTTGTGGTCCATGTCAGGTATTTAAGGGCAGAACGTGGGAGACAAAGCAAGGGTCTTCTCTCAAGTCTAGAGGCTCATGTATTAAAGGAAAGAGTGAGCAAGTCTGAAATTGCAAGAGAGACAGAGAGAGTTGGAAGAAAAGTAGCTGGGAACTAGTGAGTCAAGAAGAGGAGAGAATTCTCAAGTGTATCAAGGTGTTGAGCAAGGGTGAGAGAGAAACAGATTGTGTGGGTAGTGGTCTAAGGGGGTTTCCATTTGTAAACCAAAGTTGTAACCTATCTTCACTAGTGAAATTTCTCAAGGGGATCACCAAAGAGGATGTAGGCAAATTGCTGAACCTCTATAAACACTTGTGTCTTTTGTGCTTGATTATTTTCTGTGTGTGTGTGTAAGATTCATCCATTTTTGAGTCTTGTCCAAAGTCCATCAACAACAAGGTCTAAAGGGGAGTGAGTTGGTTCTAATTCACAACACACGGAACTTGCAGTGGTGTAAACTTTAGTAGAGATGAGGTATATGATATATTGAGAATTCTGCATGCACGGCAAGTGCTTCGACAACCTGTTTTCGCAGACAAAAATACTTCAACCATGCCTGGCATTTGTGGAACCAATATAAAGCTCATGATCTATTTTCTAATCACTCGATTAAACCAGGCATCCCACGTGATTATACTAAACTTGGAGGAGCCATCCGATCATTTATAAACTCGAGCAAACCTCTTCTCTGGTGCAAGATCATTAAAGAACAGAACGCAACAAAACAATATTTGCTGGAAGTCAGAATTTGCTTTGATCAAAATGCAACTAAACCAGAAAATTGTGAGGGGAATACAAATCCAGTGAATTGTCCCAGGAGGAGGATGACAAAAGAATGTGATCCACCATCATGTGGTATATGCTATAGCCTATAGGTAGAAGGGTGAATTAAGCTATATTGATATAAATCTAATAAGGATGAAATATATAATCTATGAATAAATGTGTACGTGAAGGAAGTTGAGGTTCCACCCTAAAACAAATTGACAATGGGGGGAGTAGCCCAACTCCTTATAAACCCAGCCTATAGGTAGAAGGGTGAATTAAGGGATGAAATATATAATCTATGAATAAATGTGTACGTGAAGGAAGTTGAGGTTCCACCCTAAAACAAATTGACAATGGGGGGAGTAGCCCAACTCCTTATAAACCCAGGCTTGGTCCCTTAAATTTTCAATGTAAGACTCTCAACAGCTATGTGACACGATGAACTAATCGTGATCATGATCGTAATGCTTGATTTGCAGTTTGTGTTATATATACTCTATGTTTTGATTTCTTAATGCACATCCCTATATAGTTTTGCAACAGGCATAGTCATCATGTTTTTCTGGAAATGGAAAATCTTATATGAATTGCATGCATATATCAATCAACTACAAGTTTAATTATATCTCTTTTGATAATCAACTACAATGTACATAGAAAAAATGAAAACTCTTGTACGTACAGTACAGTGAGAAAAATATGAGAATTTTCTTTCTTAAAAAATCAGTGCTTTTTATTAGTTGTTAGAAATTAGAAGTTTGGATCATAATGTTGTATCAAACTCGTGTACATGACACACTAAGAAATTCTATATTGCCAGATTTTCTCATCTCTCAAGTTTTTTTGCCTCCCAAGACCTATTGAAACTATACTATTCACATATACAATTGGCGGATCCAATTTCGACATACAAACTATACTATTCTATATTGCCAGCTTTTTTCTCTTTTTATGCTTTATAAAAGCTTTCTTAGTTATCCTATCTATGCTAGTCTTGTTATATTATGGATGTTAAGTACATGGAGAAGAGAGAGAGGGGACATAGATTTATGTCATCCTTCAGATCTGCGGTCCCCCAACCTCAACATCAACCCTGTCAACAACACTACATGTGAATGTTATGTTGTTTCTGTTTCTTGCTTTCTTTTATGTAACATTCCATGTGAGTCTAAATTTAGTCTAAATTGGACACATTGATGCTGATTGTGAGTTTAGGTTACACACACACATATATATATATATATCCTTGGGATGGATCACCCATCTCCATCGAGATCTTCCTTAATATCTCCCTCCCTCCCTTTCTTAATTAGCATAAATTGTTCTTAAAATCAAACATGAAATTCTTGGAGACCATAGTTGCGAGGGTTTTAGGTATTGCTCTTTCTTTCAACATTGTGGGAAACATGAGCTGCAATGCTGCTGGACATTATGACTTCTTTAAGTTTGTTCAGGAGTCTCCTTTTGCATTTCGCAAATATGGTAATGGAAATAATAGATGCAACATCCTACCTCTGCCACGGATATTTACCATTCATGGCTTGTGGCCAAGCAACTTCACAAATCGTCATGAACCTTGCGTTGGTGCACAATTTAGTAGAGTTGTGGTATATCTCTATCATACATACGTACACATTTGTTTACTTTTGGTTTTAGTTTTTTGGCATGCATGCACGAAATGATATTTAATTTTTCTTTGCCATTGTTAGATGAATGAAGCCTCCAATGATGACTTGCGAGCTGATCTGGAGTTGTCATGGCGAAGCTTCATCAGTGGGCAGTCAAATATGGACTTCTGGGAATATGAATACAACACACACGGCAAGTGCTCCGACCACAAGTTTTCGCAGACGCAATACTTCGACCGTGCCAGGAGTTTGTGGAAGCAATACAAAGCTCATACTCTATTTTCTAATCGCTCGCTTGAACCAGGCAAGTCATATCGTTTAACTGACCTTGAACAAGCCATCCGATCATTTATAGGCGGGAGAAGACCTCTTCTCCTTTGCAAGAAATCTGAGGAGGAGAAAAAACAATATTTGCTGGAAGTCGTAATTTGCTTTGATGACAGAGCAATCAATCCAGTGAATTGTCCCAGGAGGAAAGAATGTGATCCACGATCACCTGTATGGTATATGCTATAGCCTAGCTATAGGTAGAAGGGTGAATTAAGCTATATTGATATAAATCTAATAAGGATGAAATATATAATCTATGAATAAATGTGTACGTAGCTATGTGACGCGATGAACTAATCATGATCATGCAGTTTGTGTTATATATAATCAATGTTTTGATTTCTTAATGCACATCCCTATATAGTTTTGCAACAGGCATATAGTCATCATGTTTATATGGAAATGGAAAATCTTATATGAACTGCATGCATATATCAATCAACTAATTATGTCTCTTTTGATCATCAACTACAGTGTATATAGAAAAAATGAAAACTCTTGTACGTACAGTGAGAATTTTCTTTCTTAAAAAATCAGTGCTTTTTATTTAGTTGTTAGAAATTAGAAGCTTGGATCATAATGTTGTATCAAACTCGTGTACATGTACATGACACACTAAGAAATTCTATATTGCCAGATTTTCTCATCTCTCAAGTTTGTTGCCTCCCAAGACCTATCGAAACTATACTATTCACATATACAACAATTGGCGGATCCAGTTTCCACATACAAAGTTGAATAGTAGGAAGAGACATTTGGTTTTCGGTGCGGAGGTTATAGCAGACTGTGCATCCATCTTTGTCAGCCACAAGAAGCTCATTGCCTTTCCAGAGTGGCAATGCCCATCCGCCCTCCCTGAGGTCCATTATGGGGATCGATGCGAGCTCAAAACCTGCGTGTTTTGTCCAAACACAAGCACCAAAATCATCGTCCATCAGCCACATTCCAAAGTATGGAATAACATCATAACTCCAATGCCAAACACAAAGAGCAACGGAAGATTCATTCCACACTGTAAGCTTCATGAAAAGCCCAAAAAAAGTTGTGTCATGGCCTAGCAGCTCATCTGGCAACGCTACCTCATCAAACACCTCATCACTCATGTCAAACGAAACCATCACTTGCCTAATCGTTTCTTCATATTCAGTTTCCTCATTATATATATCCAGGAATTCCTTTTGTTGCTCATTTCCCAACCAATAACACATCCCTTTAAAGTATATCTCGAACTTTTCAGGCCAAAGGAAAGTAGTTTCTGTTTCCAAAGAGTAAGTCTTGATCTCTCTCCAAGAAGAAGATTCTTCACTACTTCCCAGCGTGTACACTTGTACTCTCAGAGGATAAATAACCGCAGAATATAATGTATGAGCATGCCATTGCGAACCATAAAATGTAATGCTAACAACTTTATAAGCTTTAGATATAGGATCATAGCCAAATCCCATGGCCCATCCAAGCCGATTTAATGGTTGATACGGGGCAAGCTGCTGATTTAGGGACTCCCAATCCGTAAAGTATTTCTCCGAGGGAAGAAGCTTGAATTCCCGAATTGCCGGATTCCACAAAAACACCTTACTATAATTATCTACGTGTACACAAATGATTCCATGACAATGGCCTACAATCCTAAGTTCTTCACCAGCACTCATTACACTCATAGAAACTGGAACATTGATGTCCTCCACCCTAGACAATAGAAATGTATGCGCACCATCATCTACGTCCTCGCAAAAAGTAAGCATTGAGAACACTGATTCGGTCTCGCTAGCGTTCGGGTCCTTGTTAGGGACTAATCGCTTCAAAAAGATTGATTGATTGTTGTGCAAGCAATTGGAGAGTTGATTGTCTACGAACCTGGGATTGTTGATCTGCGCATACCACCATTTGGCCGCGCACTTGAATCGCATAAGGGATTTTGGAGGTAGACTTGATAGAATTTTTACCAATAAATCTTCCCCAATTTTGCAACTGTGTGCCATTATTTCAGCTATATATGTCTCAACCCTTTCCGTCTTCTACCTCTTCTTCTTTTGCACACACAAACAAGAAATAACAAAACAACACCCAAGTTAAACATAATTAAGGAAAAATTATCATATCTGTATTATATATAAATCAAAGAGTAAAAACAACGTAAGACTTTCTAAAGTGAAATCCACAGAGAAACTTCGATTAACATCGTATTCAGAATAACAAATATTAAAAGGGATTAAAGTATACCAAACCATATTAAACAGGTATATATAAATAGTTACCTTATAATGACTGGGAAGAGGAACGTAGCAAATATACAATGGAAAGAAGCAAATTTAAGGTTTGATCATGGGATGAGAGAGAGAGAGATAGAGAGAGAAATGCAGCAGTGATTCCGGATCTGTTATCTCCAAAATTGGTGTTCCCATGTCTCTGCTTGACATGTGTCCTTCAACCTAACGCTGGAATTTGTTATTCAAAAAAGAAATTACCAGACAAAATTAAACATTAAAAACAAAAAAAAAACTAGATATATATAGTTAGGTTAGTTCGCAGCAGTAGGAAAAGGAACATATAGCAAATATACAATAGGAAGAAGCAAAATTAAGGCTTCATCAAAGGATGAGAGAGAGAGAAATGCAATACTTAGTTCGTATTTGTTGTTCTCAAACTGAACTGAAAATTTAAGGGCCCGTTTGATAACAATTTCAATTTCAATTTCAATTATAATTAAAAACCTTGAAGTTTTCCTACATTTCCATTGCTATTGTTGTTTTGGCTGTTCAGAAAGTGGAGCCATAAAAAGCCTTAAAGAAATAGATTATGAAATAATATCATCTAAATTCAATTTACAACAATATTTTTGTATGATTATATGTCACGACTTGACTCCCCTAGCACGATATTGTCCGCTTTGGGCCCCCCTCTCTGCCCTTACGGGTTTGTTTTTGGGAGCTCACAAGCAACTTCCCAGTGGGTCACCCATCCTAGGATTGCTCTGGCCCCCAACTCGCTTAACTTCGGTGTTCCTATGACTCCGAAGCCAGTGAACTCCCAAAAGGCCTCGCGCTAGGAAGAGAAGTGCCCACACATTTAAAGCACTTCACCTTTCCCTCCCCGAGCGATGTGGGATTGCTCACCGTTCTTGTTTCCCCAAGACACGGGTCTTACATTGTATCACAATTCAATTGTGCCATGTATTTTATGGTGTGTCTATGTTTTTTGTTTATTTTTTATTCAAAATGATATTAGGAGAGGTGACTCGAATCTAGGGCATCGAATGCAAGAATAAATACACTTGAACTACAATACTAGCCCGTTATGGGCATACACATTTTTTAAGCTTGAAATTTTATTTATTTTGATAAATATCACGAGGTGTCCTCACACTTGAAGGGTGAATTAAGCTATATTGTTATAAATCTAATAAAGGATGAAATATATAATCTATGAATAAATGTGTACGTAGCTATGTGACGCAATGAACTAATCGTGATCATGATCGTAATGCTTAATTTGCAGTTTGTGTTATATATAATCTATGTTTTGATTTCTTAATGCACATCCCTATATAGTTCTGCAACAGGCATAGTCATCATGTTTATCTGGAAATGGAAAATCTTATACGAATTGCATGCATATATCAATCAACTACAAGTTTAATTATATCTCTTTTGATAATCAACTACAATGTACATAGAAAAAATGAAAACTCTTGTACGTACAGTGAGAAAAAGATGAGAATTTTCTTTCTTAAAAAATCAGTGCTTTTTATTAGTTGTTAGAAATTAGAAGTTTGGATCATAATGTTGTATCAAACTCATGTACATGACACACTAAGAATTTCTATATTGCCAGATTTTCTCATCTCTCAATAGTTTGTTGCCTCCCAAGACCTATCAAAACTATACTATTCACATATACAAGTGGCGGATCCAGGTTCGACATACAAACTATACTATTCTATATTGCCAGCTTTTTCTTCTTTTTATGTTTTATAAAAGCTTTCCTAGTTTTCTTGTCTATGCTAGTCTTGTTATTATGGATGTTCAGTACATGGAGCAGAGAGAGAGGGGACATAGATTTATGCCATTCTTCGGATCTGCGGTCCCCCAACCTCAACACAACCCTGTCAACAACACTACATGTGAATTTTATGTTATTTCTGTTTCTTGCTTTCTTTTATGTAACATTCCATGTGAGTCTAAATTAGTCTAAATTGAACCCATTGATGCTTATTGTGAGTTTAGGTTACATATATATATATATATATATATATATATACCTTGGGGTGGATCACCCTTCTCCATCGATAGAGATCTTCCAATTAATATCTCCCTCCCTCCCTTTCTTAATTAGCATAAATTGTTGAAATATACTTAAAATCAAACATGAAATTCTTGGAGACCATAGTTGCGATGGTTTTAGGTATTGCTCTTTCCTTCAACATTGTGGGAAACATGAGCTGCAATGCTGCTGGACAGTATAACTACTTTAAGTTTGTTCAGGAGTCTCCTTTTGCATATTGCAAAGATGGTAATGGAAATAATAGATGCAACATCCTACCTCTGCCACGGATATTTACCATTCATGGCTTGTGGCCAAGCAACTTCACAAATCGTCATGAACCTTGCGTTGGTGCACAATTTAGTAGAGTTGTGGTATATCTCTATCATACATACATTCACATATTGAGAATAATGCATGTAGCTTCTGTTATGTTTCTCGTGTTTTGTTTTGTTTACTTTTGGGTTTTTTTTTGGCATGCATGCACGAAATGATATTTAATTTTTCTTTGTCATTGTTAGATGAATGAAGCCTCCAATGATGACTTGCGAGCTGATCTGCAGTTGTCATGGCGAAGCTTCAACAGTCGGTGGTCAAATATGGACTTCTGGGAATATGAATACAACAAACACGGCAAGTGCTCTTATAAGATTACTCCTCCAGGAACTCTTCCTATAAATACAAGGCTCAAGCTACATTCAAAGGGTTCAAACACCAAACCAAAGTCTCCCACGGAGCAACTTATTTTTTCCTGTAATGCACTTTCAATATCTTTATTTGCTTTCCTAGGAGTAGTGTTAGACTGTAAGGAGAATTCATTCATCAATATATCATACAACCCTTGATTTTCAAGGCGCCGGAGCACCATCCCTGTTGTTCGTTCACTCACCCCACATATCATACGACCGTCGCTCCCTGAGCAACGCGCCGGAGCACCGCCCAAAACACACCACCAACACCATCACTCAACGGCCTTATAGTTTAGGCCGTGAACCTAACAGCCGAGACTAGTTCCTCTCTCGGCTACAATCATTTGATTAGAAGACGAGTTTAAACAGGCACACCACTCATCCATCCTACACTCATCAACATCTCGAAGCACGGTAGACCGTGCTGGCACGCCCGCGCACAACCGCACCGCACCCAAAAGCAGGAAACCGCGTGTCAACGCATATCCCCTCGGCCTGGAACTCCAGGCCGTGAGATTTGCGCGGCAGACATGATCGTAATGCTTTATTTGCAGTTTGTGTTATATATAATCTATGTTTTGCACTACAAGAAAATTGGCTTTTTACAGCGTGCGATGTGCGTCGTAAATGACTATTCACGGCATGCTATCACGTGCCATAAAAGGCCGTGCTGTAAAAAGTATTTTTCTTTTACAGCATGTGTGGGAGCAAATTTCCTCCCACGAGAATATTCGCCCAAGATTCCTTCGTCTTCTCCGCTTCTCTTTCTCCCTGCAAAATAAATCGGAGTAAAAGGACCACACCCGGGGGGTGTTGGCCAAAGGCCCTCCGATGCCTAAGTTAGGTTGGGTATTTCAAGGAAAACCGAGTGGCCGGAGCCGTGTGTGATGGCCGGAGCCTTGTGTGAGAGAAAGAAAGAATAGGAAGGGAGAAGGGTTTGTGAGAAATAATTTATGCAGAGTTTCAGTAGGAATTCAGACGTACCTCAATCCTCATGTGTAGCCAATATTTATAGAGGGTCTCAGAGGCTTTAATTTGGCGAGGTTGGTGGGGTTGGTGTGGTTGGTGGGTTGGTGTATTTAGGGGTTAGGGATTTAATCAAATCCCTAATTAAGACAAAAATCAAAGACATCTAATTTAAATCAAATAACCTCCTAATTAATTCAGATAACTCCCAATTAGGTTTGGTAACCCCAAATTAGGTCAAATAATTCCCAAATTGATTGGCCTAATTATTTGACCTAGAATGAGATATTTTGCTTCCACAGCATGCATTGGCTTGCCACAAGTGTTAATAATGCACGCCATGACTGAGCTCTCATAAAGTTTGGACAACTAATTACGGAATGCTTTGCGTGCCGTAAAATATCTTTCACGGCACACATTGCACGCCATAATAGAGTCGTTTATTAACATTTAAGGCTTGCGAAGCACGGTGTGTTTGAGTTTTCTTTTTTTAAAAAAAATTAATTAATTTCATGACTACCCTTATTTCATATTAACAAATATGCTTATATCAAATATTCCCCTGGACACACATGATTTCACAAAAAGAAAATAAGTATAGCAACCAAACCTTAAAGAAAGAACTATTTCATTGATAACTATACCAATTCCAAATACATAATCACTGCTTGTGCAAGAGTAAATAATAAGGCATCTAAACATACACAAAACTTATATACATGGTTCAAATTCAATAATCGCTACTACAAAAATGACAATAAACGACGTGGAAACACATATCGAAAAACTTGGAGCAATATACAAGCTCTTCACCACCACTCATTACACTCATAGAAACTGGAACATTGATGTCCTCCACCCTCGACAATAGAAACGTATGCGCACCACCATCTACGTCCTCGCAAAAAGTAAGCACTGAGAGCACTGATTCGGTCTCTTTAGCGTTCGGGTCCTTGTTAGGGACTAATTGCTTCAAAAAGATTGATTGATTGTTGTGCAAGCAATTGGAGAGTTGATTATCTACGAACCTGGGATTGTTGATCTGCGCATACCACCATTTGGCCGCGCACTTGAATCGCATAAGGGATTTTGGAGGTAGACTTGATAGAATTTTTACCAATAAATCTTCCCCAATTTTGCAACTGTGTGCCATTATTTCAGCTATATAATATATATATATATATATCTCAACCCTTTCCGTCTTTTACCTCTTCTTCTTTTGCACACACAAACAGGAAATAACAAAACAACACCCAGGTTAAAAACAAGGAAAAATTATCATATCTGTATTATATATGTTGGCACCAAAACTGAACAGATAGAGATGAGTGCAACTTACAAGTGGTGAGGACGATCTAGCAGATCGATTGAGTGATAGATGCAGATTCTTCTTGTCCTTGGATGCAGATCCTAAATAGAAGAGAGTTGAGGCTCGTGAGGCCTATGGAACCGGTGTGGAACCAGCCTAAGACCCTCCGATGCCAAAGTAAGTTTGTTTTCTAAGAGCCCCCGCTGTTGACAATATATTAGTATAAAGGTCAAGCTGGAAAGTCTTACCCCTGTATTGTAGTGAAGGGGCCTATTTATAGAGGGCATTTTGTATGCTCTTAGTACTTAATTTCGATGTGGGACTCGTGGGAGGGCCCTATGAGGTCGACACGAGTCCTTAGATATTTCGAGCGGGTGCTCCTGTAGCGACCTTTTGCCCACTTGAGACAATATCATCGGTAGCCGACGCTGATTGTTCGGAGCCTTGGGCACTTGGGTAAGTTTCTAAGATCCACGTGTCGTTGTATGAGCGGAGGGTCAGATATGGTACAAACAATATATAAATCAAAGAGTAAAAACAACGTAAGACTTTCTAAAGTGTAATCCATAGAGAAACTTCGATTAACATTGTATTCAGAATAACAAATATTAAAAGGGATTAAAGTATACCAAACCATATTAAACAGGTATATATAAATAGTTACCTTATAATGATTGGGAAGAGGAACGTAGCAAATATACAATGGAAAGAAGCAAATTTAAGGTTTGATCATGGGATGAGAGAGAGAGAGAAATGCAGCAGTGATTACGGATCTGTTCTCTCCAAAATTGGTGTTCCCATGTGCAGCTTTTTTTATTAATGGAATTTGGACGGAATGGATATTGGCTAACGGATACAAACATAAGGACCAGATTGGCCAAATTGATAACATGGGGACTAAATTGAACAATGAGGTAAAACACATGGACCATTTTGACATTTAAGTCTTTATTTTAATTAGGGATGTATGTCGGTTCAAAACCAATACAATTTAGTCAATCCGCATCCCATTCAATAATATAGATTGGATTGTGATTTTTTTTCAATCCAATCCAATCATATTAGATGTTTAAATTCGATCCGATCCAATTTATATTGGATTGGATTAGATTGGATGATCTGTTTTGATTGTGGAAAAAAAGGCAATAATGAAATATTAAATATTTACAACATTATTTTTGTATGATTGTATCACAGTTCAATTGTGCCATGTATTTTATGGTGTGTCTATGTTTTTTGTTTATTTTTTATTCAAATGATATTAGGAGAGGTGACTCGAATCTAGGGCATCGAATGCAAGAGTAAATACACTTGAACTACAATACTAGCCCGTTATGGGCATACGCATTTTTTAAGCTTGAAATTTTATTTATTTTTTATAAATATCACGAGGTGTCTTCACACCTGAAGGGTGAGATTAATCTCTGATCGGGGTTCAGCTTGTCTCTAGCCACAAAGTGCTTTCAACGAGTTTCGAACCTCTGTCATTGAGGCACCATATAATTTACCAATTGCACCACCCCTTGTGGTTTTTAAGCTTGAAATTTTACCAACAAGTAAATGGGACATTGGGATCAAACTGAGAACCGGTTCATTCAGAGTAACCGGTTTTGAAAGTCTGAAAAAAAAAAAGGAACCGGAGATCTATGACGCGGCGCCGATCTATTGGCTCACATAAAATAAAAAAAATAAAAAAATGAAAATCATAAAATGCCTAAAACGGGTCAAAAGAATATTAAAAAAGAAAATGCACTAGGGATCCTTTCGCATTCTCAGACCCAATCGCCTCTGCGTCCGGCAAACGCAGTCTCTCTCTCTCTCTCTCTCTCTCTCTCTAGTTGTTGCTTTAGGGTTTGAGAGCTTCAAACAATGGTGAGAGGATTACTGAAGCAGCTTACCTCTCGTTCTCTCTCTATCGCCGGAAAATGGCAGCAGCAACAGCTCCGCCGCCTCAACATTCACGAATATCAGGTCTCTCTCTGTGCATATTTCGCTCACACTTACAATCAAATTCAAGCTTTCATATGTAGCTGATCTGTTTCTCTTTTAATACTCCAGAAACTCTGGAAAGTAAAGAACACAATTTTTCGTTTTATGATTTGTTTATATGTTTCATAGTTATTTTGTTGTCTTTGATTAATTTAATACAGTTGTGTAAAGTTAATAGTAGTGATCAGCGAAAATTTTCATCCCTCAAAAATTGTCTTCCTGTGCAACAAAAAAAACTTCAAAATTTTGAAATATACATGTATAGAATATGATGTGTATGTATATGTGCCAAATTTCTGTTTTATTTATTTATTTATGAGAATGGTGTACATCTTCGAGTCACATTGCATCATCCTAGTTGTTGGTTATGCTTCTGTGCGAGAGTGAGAATGTTGTTTGAATTTTGAGGATGAATGCCTTTCACTTTGGCTGAAACAAGGGGGCTGATTTGATGAGCAAATATGGGGTTAATGTTCCGAAAGGTGTTGCCGTCGCTTCCGTTGATGAAGTCAAAAGGGCAATTCAGGATGTATTCCCCAAGGAAAGTGAGGTAATTATTGGAAATCATGGTCTTTTCATATTCAGGTTTATTTTGACAAGAAGACAAGCACTATTCTATGTTGCTGATCAAACTGAGAAAAAAGAAATATTCATAGCAATATTCGTTTTCTTTTCCAGGACAAAACTTTATGTCTGATTTAAGGATAATTTATCTTCATATTTCAATGGCTGAAAAAGTCAAAGTTGGAATACTGTTCTTATATCTTTTTTTATTTTTAGCAAACTAGCTTAGTGTTTGAAAAGGGGCAATGCTAACTTGGATTTTGGTGCAGTTGGTAGTTAAAAGCCAAGTTTTGGCTGGTGGAAGAGGCTTGGGAACCTTTAAAAATGGTCTCAAGGGTGGTGTTCACATTGTCCCGGCTGACCAAGTTGAAGATATCGCTGGTACTAAAAACCATCTTTGTTATATGAGAATGTTTCCCTGGCGTTTTTGTTTTCTTAAAGTTATCTCTGGGCATACCAACACAGGCTCTCATAGAAATAACTCTAGCACACCCTAGCTTGATACGTTAGATTACAATGCCTCTAGCAATGCATGCATGTTAGTTTACAATAGTATGTTGTGATAGTCTTTTGTACATTTATTCTTCTGTATGATTCTGGAAGTTGCTGCTTTCTAAGATGTGATACTGCTTTGTCCTTTTGGTGCTCTTCTTTATTTCAATTTTGTACTTCTCTTGCAGGCAAGATGCTTGGTCAGATTCTTGTTACCAAGCAAACAGGTCCTCAGGGAAAAATTGTCAGCAAGGTTGGCATTGCAATTTGTTTCATATTGTACATTTATATTAACTTGTAGCATTGAACACATTTTAGTTCCCAAACTTTCATTTTTATGTTAAAGCTTGGAATCCTTGTTGCTGAGGATTCCAAATTTTCATTTTTATTTTATATTAAATAAAACTTGGTGCTAAGGACTTCCAAGCCTCAAACTTTCTTGAACATACACATCAGCACTATAAATTTTTTACTTATAATTTGGTTTCTAACTTTTGCCTGTACAGGTTTATTTGTGCCAAAAGTTGTCGCTTGTCAATGAGATGTACTTTGCTATCACTCTGGATCGCAAAACTGCTGGCCCAGTATGTTCTCAAACTGACTTCATTATCTTTGTCTGGTGCAAATTAATTACCTATTTTATTTTCCTATGTCTTTGTTAATGTTAGTTTTCTTCAAAGTGAGCTTCCTGAATTAAGATGCATATTTTGATATCCATTTTTCAGCTTATAATTGCCTGTGCAAAGGGAGGAACAAGCATTGAAGACCTTGCTGAGAAATTCCCTGATCAGATAATAAAGGTACTTAGCCTTATCTTTTATTTTTATGTTTTAGCAACTACTCTTCCCTTTTCTGTATTGTGATTTAACTAGTATCTTCTTACTTTTGTTTTCTTATTCTGTGGTCGATAGGTACCTGTCGATGTTTTCACTGGAATTACAGATGAAGATGCCGCAAAGGTTGTTGATGGTTTGGCTCCTAAAGTGGCCGATAGAAGTAGTTCAATTGATCAAGTGAAGAAATTATATAAGCTATTCAGTGAGACTGACTGCACACTTCTGGAAGTGAGCATAATTTTTAGGTTAAAGTAATTTTACTGTTTAACCACTTCCCCTCCTTCCATTTTATCTATCTGACCCTTGATTTTTGGACAGATCAATCCACTTGCAGAGACTTCTGATAACCAGCTAGTAGCTGCTGATGCCAAGTTGAACTTTGATGACAATGCTGCTTTTCATCAGAAAGAGATATTTGCTCTTCGGGATCCAACACAAGAGGATCCTCGAGAGGTTTGGTTAATTATCCTTGTGTTTGCCCACTTTTACAGCTGATTAATAGTACTATTCGTTGCAGTTCTGTTGCCACTTACCACCCCATCTTCCTTTGTAGACTTGAATTTCATTTCTAATTGTTTAGGGTTTTTGGGCTCTACCTTTTAATGTATTTCAATTTTTTTTTTCTTTTTCCGCCTTCCTGTACAGATTTTTTTTTTTTTTGGTTTATATGTATGTGCAACATGTGCATCCCAAATTTGGTGAGGATTTTTGCTACAAGCAGCTATTCTCACACATCTTATGTTGATCTGTAACGGAATTTTTTGTTTAAAATCATGATCTGGGTTGGGCAGGTTTATACCTGCCCCTTATAGGGGTGGAGGAAGGTGGGGCCCCGAGATACCTAGCGAACCTTTGTCAGCTTTTAATAGGCGTTCCTGATCCCCACTCCCAACAGGAATGGAGGAATAACAGGGCCAATGAAAGTTTCCATATTTTCTACGTGGTATAATATTTCATTGTTATAGTAAAGCCCAGCTGCCACCCATGAGTTTGTTTGTTGGAGATGCTTTATCTAGGTAGTTGAATGTTATCTGATACATTTACAACAGGACACACTGTGTCTACAGTTAAGAGTGCACAACTTGAATGTGAAGTTCTTTGTGGTAGATAACAATATTTTTTGGTGTTTACTTATTTGCTCTGGTGCCTTTTACCTACTGACAGGTGGCTGCTGCCAAAGTAGATTTGAATTATATTGGGTTAGATGGGGAAATTGGTTGCATGGTGAATGGTGCAGGATTAGCTATGGCTACAATGGATATTATTAAATTACATGGGGGAACTCCTGCCAATTTTCTCGATGTAGGCGGAAATGCTTCTGAAAACCAGGTAATGATGGAGTGATAGGAAATGAATGAACTGCTTGTCGGACCTTTTTTCCCCACTGTTGTCATTGAGTCTTTTTCTTTTTCTTTTTCTTTTTCAGCTTTATTCTTTACTTCTTTGGTATCAGGATCTGTTTTATATCTCAATTTGAATGTGGCTTTGGTTTTAAGATGGTTCACTAGTTTGTTAAAAAATTGAGGATGCTCTTTGTGCAATGTGCACATGCATGTCTGAGTGCTAAAGCCTAATGCCAGTTATTGTTTTTGGTTGTACACTTCTCTGTTAAGGAATATGACTGTGATTTATAGCACATAAGAAACTCAAATTTCTTTCTGTTTCTCTAATTTTAAATTATGTGAAACAGGTTGTTGAGGCATTTAAGATTTTGACTTCTGATGAGAAAGTGAAGGCCATTTTGGTGAATATCTTTGGTGGAATAATGAAATGTGATGTGATTGCAAGTGGAATCGTCAATGCTGCTAAACAGGTGATTCTCCAATTAATTGCCATGTTTTGGCAAATTATTTCCTGGTGGTTTCATTTTACTTGATATCAATTTGGATTGTGCTTAAGAAGGAGATTGAAATAATTTGGTTAATTACTGCCGGGAGATGAATTTTGGGAAAAAAAAAATTCCACTAAGGAGCAGAAGTTTTTCTTGACCTCATAAATTCCAAATTTAACAGTTGTGAATAATTGTATGGCCTCAATCTAGTTTCTGCGGAAGCATTAACTTTTTTTCATCCATGTTCAAGGTTAAACTAGAAGTGCCCGTGGTCGTTCGTCTCGAAGGCACCAACGTTGACCAAGGAAAGAGAATTCTGAAGGTACCAATTAGAAATTTAGGATCCTAATATATAAAAGTACAGAAAAAAAAAAAAGTCAGTCATGGAAAATATATTCAGAATGTATATTAGAAACTTTCTTGTTTGTTAATGGCTGTGCAGGAAAGTGGAATGGCTTTAATTACAGCAGAAGATCTGGATGATGCTGCTGAGAAAGCGGTTAAAGCACTGAAGAAATAGATCCCTTGATTCTCTTTATAATTACATTATGAATATAATTCTTATTTTATCTTTTCCTTTTTCTCTTATGGTGACACTGATGTACTCTGTTGGTGTTTTGTGTATGACATTACATAACACACCACCTGCATAGTTCGAGCATAATTGAAATTGTTTGAAGACAAGTTTTGAGGCTATATTTGTTGTCAACGAATTTTCAATTTTGCAGATAATTAGAAAAGAAAATTGTTCCAAAGGGGATCGAGTTCTACTACATTTTCAGTATAAGATTTGAGTATTTTTAGATATTTTCTTTTTTTATCAATGAGGTTAAGGAATTCGATGGGTGAGTATTTCAGGTTGTGGATATATAGATTGATCTCTTCACACAAGAACGCTAGAAATCAAAAAACACACTATCAACATGCAAATATGCAATGGTTACTCCCCATTCTCTGGTAATTTGCCAACCCCAACAAATACTGTCCCTCTCCACTTGGCTCTCTCTCTCTCTCTCTCTCTCTCTCTCTCTCTCTCTCTCTCTCATTTGGGATTACATCACATCACAAGGAGGAGAGAGAAGGAGCAGAGGGTGCCGGTTGTCGGGGTTGAGCGACTGTCGAGTGGGGTTCGGCAGCTGCTAGGGTTTTTTTCTTCTTTATTCAAAGTCTTCTCTTTCGTATTTTCTTTTTTACAGTTAAAATATAGGACAAAAGAGGGGATTGCTGGGATGAAATTTTTTTTATGGTGGATCAAGTCAGCAGGAGGGAGGGGGTTATATTTAGACCTTCCCATAAAGACAAAATCCCTCCTACAAAACACCTTACAGACAAAAGAAACATTCGCCTCTCTGCCTCCTAGACAGCTCAAGCTCTCTCGCTCGCAGCGCCGCATTTCTGTCCCTCATGCCATGATCATTTCTGTCCCTCATGCCATGATCGAACCTTAATTTCGCTTCTTCCCACTTATCCTAGTTGACATTTTCTTTGTAAAGATGAACAAGGAGGGTTTTCTCTATATTGTAGTTGTTAATGATCAAGATATATAATATAAGATGCAAAACGTATATTTAGATTTTCCATTTGAGACATGACTTTCTCCTGTTAGGTTGAAGTGAATATAATCTGCTGATTATATTAAGGTGGAATGATTCCATTCCCACTTATCCTAGTGGCTTTTGCTTTTCATGCACCTTATTGTGTGGGAATGATTGCATTGGTCTTTGTGGCTTGCGTACGTAGGAATGATAGTAATGGTTTTGAATCATTTGGAATGTGGGTGATGGATGATGTTGCCGTTGCCGTTGCCGTTGCCGTTGTCAAGCTTGTTTGGAGAAAACACTTGGATTTTGAACTGAGCCCCATAATGGACCTCAGGCGGTTGGATTGGGCATTGGCATTGTATGGTTCACGGAGATGGATGTACAATTTGCTATAACCTGCGTACCAAAAACCGTACGTGTCTTCCTATTCCAAGTGTTCCACTATTATTATCCATTAAAAAATTTAATTACTGGAGAATATAATGGACCTGTGAATATATAGTTTCTGTCTTGGGAGGGAGGCAACAAGCTTGAGAGATGAGAAAATCTGGTAATATTTTTTCCAATAAGGATATCGAAATTATTATATTTTTATTGTTGAAAATATTTGTGATGTGATGTGCAAATTATGTATCTATTTCATGCTATTAACTGTAAGTTTAAAAGGATACTAGTGTGCTATTAATCGTAAATATCATACACACATTCATATATATACAATCAAAGTGAACAACACATGTCAAGCAGAGACAAATGAACACCAATTTTGGAGATAACAGATCCGGAATCACTGCTGCATTTCTCTCTCTATCTCTCTCTCTCTCATCCCATGATCAAACCTTAAATTTGCTTCTTTCCATTGTATATTTGCTATGTTCCTCTTCCCACTCATTATAAGGTAACTATATATATCTATTTTTCTTTGTAATGTTTAATATGGTTTGGTATACTTTAATCCCTTTTAATATTTGTTATTCTGAATACGATGTTAATCGAACTTTCTCTGTGGATTTCACTTTAGAAAGTCCTACGTTGTTTTACTCGTTGATTTATATATAATACAGATATGATAATTTTTCTTTATGCTTAACCTGGGTGCTTTTTGTTATTTCCTGTTTGTGTGTGCAAAAGAAGAAGAGGTAGAAGACGGAAAGGGTTGAGACATATATATATATATTATATAGCTGAAATAATGGCACACAGTTGCAAAATTGGGGAAGATTTATTGGTAAAAATTCTATCAGGTCTACCTCCAAAATCCCTTATGCGATTCAAGTGCGCGGACAAATGGTGGTATGCGCAGATCAACAATCCCAGGTTCGTAGACAATCAACTCTACTCCAATTGCTTGCACAACAATCAATCAATCTTTTTGAAGCGATTAGTCCCTAACAAGGATCCAAACGCTAGCGAGACTGAATCAGTGTTCTCAATGCTTACTTTTTGCGAGGATGTAGATGGTGGTGCGCATAGGTTTCTATTGTCTAGGGTGGAGGACATCAATGTTCCAGTTTCTATGAGTGTAATGAGTGGTGGTGGAGATCTTAGGATTGTGGGCCATTGTCATGGAATCATTTGTGTGCACGTAGATAATTATAGTAAGGTGTTTTTGTGGAATCCGGCAATTCGGGAATTCAAGCTTCTTCCCTCGGAGAAATACTTTACGGATTGGGAGTCCCAATATCAGCAGCTTGCCCCGTATCAACCATTAAATCGGCTCGAATGGGCCATGGGATTTGGCTATGATCCTATATCTAAAGCTTATAAAGTTGTTAACATTATATTTGATGGTTCGCAACTGCATGCTCATACATTATATTCTGTGGTTGTTTATCCTCTGAGAGTACAAGTGTACACGCTGGGAAGTAGTGAAGAATCTTCTTCTTGGAGAGAGATCAAGACTTACTCTTTGGAAACAGAAACTACTTTCCTTTGGCCTGAAAATTTCGAGATATACTTTAAGGGGATGTGTTATTGGTTGGGAAATGAGCAACAAAAGGAATTCGTGGATAATGATGAAACTCAATATGAAGAAACGATTAGGAAAGTGATGGTTTCGTTTGACATGAGTGATGAGGTGTTTGATGAGGTAGCGTTGCCAGATGAGCTGCTAGGCCATGATATAACTAATTTTGGTTTCATGAAGCTTACAGTGTGGAATGAATCTTCCATAGCTCTTTGTGTTTGGCATGGCAGTTATGATGTTATTCCATACTTTGGAATGTGGCTGATGGACGATGATTTTGGTGCTTGTGTTTGGACAAAACACGCAGGTTTTGAGCTCACATCGATCCCCATAATGGACCTCAGGGAGGGCGGATGGGCATTGCCACTCTGGAAAAGCGATGAGCTTCTTGTGGCTGACAAAGATGGATGCACAATCTGCTATAACCTCCGCACCGAAAACCGAATGTCTCTTCCTACTGTTCAAATTTGTATGTCGAAACTGGATCCGCCAATTGTATATGTGAATAGTATAGTTTCGATAGGTCTTGCGAGGCAACAAACTTGAGAGATGAGAAAATCTGGCAATATAGAATTTCTTAGTGTGTCATGTACACGACAACATTATGATCCAAGCTTCTAATTTCCTTTTTTTTTTTTTTTTTTTGCGTGTCCCAGCTACACTGAGATTCGAACATGTAAACCCCTCGGTAGCTTCTAATTTTTTAAGAAAGAAAATTCTCATCTTTTTCTCACTGTACGTACAAGAGTTTTCATTTTTTCTATGTACACTGTAGTTGATGATCAAAAGAGACATAATTAGTTGATAGATATAAGATTTTCCATTTCCATATAAACATGATGACCATGCCTATTGCAAAACTATATAGGGATGTGCATTAAGAAATCAAAACATAGATTATATATAACACGAACTGCAAATTAAGCATTACAATCATGATCACGATTAGTTCATTGCGTCACACATAGCTACGTACACATTTATTCATAGATTATATATTTCATCCTTATTGGATTTATATCAATATAGCTTAATTCACCCTTCTACCTATAGGCTATAGCATATACCATACAGGTGATGGTGGATCACATTTTTTTGTCATCCTCCTGGGACAATTCACTGGATTGATTGCTCTGGCATCAAAGCAAATTACGACTTCCAGCAAATATTGTTTTTTCCCCTTAGATTGCTTGCAAAGGAGAAGAGGTCACTACTACAAAAATCGAAATAGACGACGGTAATCCACCGTCATGTTTTCGGTTTTTCAACCGTCGTGAAATCGAGCGACGTCTTTTGATGCATAAAACCACGACGGTAAATCCCCGTCGTCTATTATTTGTAAAGACGACGCTTTTACTCAAAAGCGTCGTCTATTATAGTAAATAGACGACGGTTTTTTTATAAAAATGGTCGTCTATTATGAAGTAAAGACGACCTTTTTTATATGAAAAGGGTCGTCTATTATGAAGTAAATACGACGGTTTTCATATAAAAACCATCGTCTATTATATGTAAAGACGACGGTTTTTTTTATAAAAAGGGTCGTATATTATTAAGTAAAGACGACGGTTTTCATATAAAAAGGGTCGTCTATTATATGTAAAGACGACGGTTTTTTTTATAAAAAGGGTCGTGTATTGTTAAGTAAAGACGACCCTTTTTATATGAAAAGGGTCGTCTATTATGAAGTAAAGATGACAGTTTTTTTTTTAAAAAGGGTCGTCTATTATATGTAAGGGTCGTCTTAATTGTTAGTGAATATATTGTTTTGAGTAAAACCGTAGTTGATTGTATATAAAAAAGACGTTATGGTGTTAAAAGAGGTCATTGATAATATATACAGATGACGGTTTTTCCAATAAAACCATCGTTTTATTATATTTAGTTTTTTTGAAGAGTCAATAGTTATTACATAGTCAACCAATCTTTATTCTATTACATACATACTTCCTACCTATAATTAGAAATAACGGAGCTCACAAATTCTACTAATTTGATTTTAACTTCATCAATTTGTTCTTGGGTTGACTTAGCTCTGCCTTCTTGCACATTTTCCAAGTTGTTGGTGTCGGAAAAGGAAAGACCTGCACGAAAGAGACCCCAATACTCTTAAACATAAACTTGTTTAGCAGTAACCTAACCTTAGCAAAAAGATCT